GAAATAATATATTAATTTATTATTGTTAGTATCAATGTGGTAACTATGCAATAATATTGCGAACTAAATATGGAAAATAATAATATATTACTTCAGAAAGTTATACGCACTTTTACTCTCCAAATAAAACTAATGAAAAAAAAGATTAAGCTAAAATGTTGGCATTTATCAGAATTGAGGCTCTCTCTGACGTAAAATCTATCGGGTACATTCCTTGAGGTTAAAATAGATACTTTACGTAAGAATCATCGTAACTGATATCAGTTAGCCAATTAATCATACTATCATTAATATTAGTATTTGATTGATAGCTTAATCTGTAATATCTTAATTTTACGAATTTAGTTTTACGTCTTCCTTATATTGTATTTCAAACGTTAAATAATTTTACTCGCATTTTTATGTTATAATAATGGAATCTTCACTAAAAATAACGATAGAAATAGGGATTGAAGAGATACCTATCAATTCGCAAATAATTTATTTAACATAGCTTCTAGCAGCTGTTGTTGCTAACTAGTAGACATCCATATGTGCAAATCGGCATCAATAAGTGAACCTATATTTGTTAACTAGATCGGCATAATATAGCCGCAAAGCTTTAATCAGCTGGTCAATGGTGATTCTAATGCTGCTACTTATGATGCGCATATGATAATATATCCATTGCGTGTAATTGACACTTGGATCCTGTGATGATTGTTGTTGAAGTTCCGAACAGTATTTCTCGCATATACACATTACTACATGCTGTGGTTACGTTATAACTAACAGATACTATTACATTAGTTCCTTTAAAACCTCTTTTTAGCATTAGAACTGACAATGTAAATCTTAGTTACATACTTTACGCTAATGAAATGTTGATGTTGGGTTGATATACAGAAGTACGAAAAGCTAACTGATTGCAATATATCACTCAAAATAAGTAAGGTTAAATATAAAACTCGGTGCTAAATATCGATTTTTAATGAACAACTAATATAGAAATTAAAACAAGTGAGAGAAAGAAACAGCGTGATTCTAACTAGCCATTGCAAATTTTATATTAAGTACAACCTATCTGCTTAATGTAAGATCTGCTAACAATTTCTAATCTACTCATAGACTCTACTTACTCTAGCGTCATTTGAAATACCAAATAGTGCACCGAGGTATACCAAATGAAAATAAGCAATCAGGCTAAAGACAAGATTGATGGATATAGCTACAAAGGAAGGCTAGAAAGGAATAAATCCAATTTATAATTGAAATACCCAATTACCCTATCAAGCTGCACAGTAAAGTAGAAGATTATCGCAAAGGTTTTTTAATATTTTGTTGGTGTATGTGATTCTCGACACACTTAATGAATTGAACTTATGGCTGATGGAATAGTTAGACAAATAACTTTTCATTAACACTTTTGTTATGTAATAGCTCACCGCTAAGTGCAATCATTTCGCTTTTAAGATAAAGTCTATAATATCCTTTCATTTGTTGTCTGAGTAAACTAACCTCCTTATAGAAATGCTGACAACGATTTTTTTGACATTTTCTTGACATGATGCACGCATTCAATAACTGAGCTAATTTTTTCCGGAATACTGAAGTGAAGACCGTCCAGTTTATTCATATTTAATGTAATCATAAAATGAATAAAATGATATCTCTAATTAATTAAAATCTTTTGATTGACATAGTTTGGCTAAGTGAAGAGTTAGTTAATCATAAGAGTCTTGTTGTAAAAGAAAAATTGCAGTATCTTACGAATGTATCAAAAACGATATTTTCAATCATTCCATTAATACTTAGATATATCAAGGATAGTCTAGCAATGAAATGTAGGTAGATAGATATTCCCAGACTAATAAGTCAATACATGATACTAACTTTATGTTTATCAATTATAATTAATTATAATAAAGGAGATAGGCCAATCATCTACACTACAATTTTGCTACTTTCAGGAAATTCTGTCTCTGGACATTATGCTTATTAAAGAGCATTTCATTATTTTTGGAGACTTATAAGCTCAGATATAATTAGATTAGCTAGTTTCCAATCTCTAGCTTTATGCCATTGCAATATATATCTGAATTAATTCTAGTAAGAAATAACTAGAGTAATTTTCAAAGCAATAGTAAATTGATGCTTTCTATTTAACAATTTAAGATATATCACTTTCCCTACTATCATCTGAATTAGCTATAAATAAATTTTAAAAAGTTATAGCAACTGTCAAACATAGCAATATATTATTTGGTGAAGGTAAATGGTGAGAAGAGAGTCTGTTGTTCCTATTTTGGATTGTTTTTAAGCCGTTAAAACAGTTAAATACAACATGTAAAATACAATCTATATAGGGGATTAGAGGATCAAATAGGCCAAATACATTATGTATCACTAATAGGTTACTTGAAACTTACCATGTTCAATGTATGCATAAACTCCAATAGATAGCAATATTGCGGATAGAGAAAAATTCAATCCCTAAAAGAGAATTGATATGCTGTACTTAATTGAAGTTCCATTTACAAATAATAGGTATATGAGTAAATCAAGAAGCTCCAGGAAATTAGAGTATTAGGGTGTTTAATACCTTCTTTAGTGTTAAGTTAGATAAATTATCTGTTAGCACGAGAAGCTACTCAAATGTTCTACACTATAGCGATATACTATCAGTAGTATATAGACACAGTGAATATTTACTATGCGATACGGCTGATTTAATGGTACCGTAGTAAATATAGATTAGCCGTTGTTTAATACGCTTGACTAAACATATATTCCATTTTACAAGTAGCAGCTAACTTGTAGTTGCCACGAACGAATATAAATGTACTAACGTGTAATAGAGCACTAGCAAAATATGTTGCAAATACCGCAAACCATTTGCCTCCAGTTATAGAAGGTTGATAAATATCTAACGGTAGAATAGTTGTATTAGCATAAAAAAATATGAACATGAAAAATCTTCATAAAATTCGTACAATGCTTGATTCGAAATAAGCGAAGAAAAATTGTAGTGTAATCTTACATTTTTTCAGCATCCAATGGATTGGCATGTTCCAGTAAATAACAACTTCTACCAATGATCTAGGTAATTCAATTCTTGAAGGTTTAACAACTTCATGTTGCCTGAAATTAAGAACAATTTTTGGTGGAAGAATGTCAAATTACCTTAAACATTTGCAAAAGGATATATGTTACATTAATACGAGTGTAAATTAAATGTAGACTATATCTATTAACTATCAAAATAAGTTTCATTGCCTTCAATTGTCTTAATATCGATATTTGACGATGAATGTAGCAAATAATTATCTCTAATATTAATGATGATAGATGAAACTTTTTGCAGTTGGCTAACCAATCAAGACTTTCGTTATCTTCATGAGGCTCATTGAAATAACCCGACGCTAGGCTAGTCGCTTCCGATGTTAAGCAAACAAAGTAGTGACTAAATCGAAACGATAGGGCAGATAGCCAGGCTATGATCCACCTTTAACGTATTGCAAAAAATAATAATTATATCTTTAGAATGTGCAACACAGCAAATCTAAGCATCTAATGTACTATATCACAATTTTGAGCCTTTTTGTAATTAATTTTTGGCTAGCTTGTAAAATAATATCAAGTAAATACTGAAGCATCTAAGCACTATACCAGAAATTTAAAGCTCTAAATTCTATTTAAAGAGCTTATTGTAAATAAATCACAAACTACGACTTAGACTTAATTTTCCAGTAACAATTTGGCTAGTTAATAACTAACAAGGCATGTATATATATTCTAGGCATTGCTGAGAGCAATGATCTGATTCTCCAGTTCGTGTATGAGTCTTTTAAAGCTGATTCCGTTCTTAAGAGTGAACAGTGGTATATTTGGGGAGAGAGTAAAAGATAAGCTGATTATGCTCGTTAAAAAGATATGTTCCATGACATACTTATTATTATTACTGTGTTCTCGTAAGCCAGAAGACACACAAGTAGATATTATTAGGCATATAAAACCAAGTATCAGCGATTTACAGATCGCATAGCTCCACCTCAAGTCCTATCAAATCATGAATCAATAAAAAGTATTATCAGACAATGAGATTGAATCATTAGTAGGATTTTATGCAGTTGGATAATGGAAAATGAGCCTAAATTTATAAATAAATAGATGATTACAATTCTTCTATTGGAGATGCAGCGCTGATAATCATTATAAGTCATGAAAGGGCCAAAAATAGCAGTGCCAACAAAATTACAGTATCCAAAACATTGCATAGGTGAAATAGGTAGGTGTACTTCTTTGCTGTCTACATCAACAGCTAGAGCGATAAGTTTCATGGCTAAGACCATTTCTATCCCTATTTTCAAAGATATAATTAATTCAGATTCTTACTTACGGCAAGAAATATACACCGGTTTTAATTTAAGACCGTTAAATTTTACCAAAAATTATAGTTACGTTAGTCAATCTGCAGCTGAATTAAATTCTTATACGTTATATGTAGGTCACCTTAGTTACAATACATCTTAACTTTATAATCTATGGTGGAGTAAATATAAATTTGATATAATCGTAAATTTAGATCACCTGTTTTATTGCTACAAGCTAATATTTGTCGAGATGTAACATTAAATATTCTAGTACCGATTCTAAAATACTTATCATGTAAACTGCCGACAATTAACTGAGGTGTGATGATAGGGATAAATATTAGATTAATAACACAATTTGGATACTTTTAAAAGAATACTGTGCTAACTTGATTCTTATCCATTATCATAGCGAATTGATTGCCCTAAATATTCTTTTGCTAATTTTTAAAACTTGCTTTGATTGCCTTACCTCGTAATCTTTGCCACGATTCTAGGTAAATAATTTCAAATTCGCTGATTTAAGATAAGAAGAATCTTAAATAAATATTATGTGTCGTATTTCAGAGTAAAACGTCTTAATACAAAAGGATTTGAAGATTACTCTATACTAAGGTTTAAAATTAAGTAAAATAGAAATTTAAATCGTGAAGAGAAAAAACAAATATCTGTAGCAGTAGCAATTCTACTCCATAATATTTCGTCATTTTTGATGCGAAATATTACTAACTAAACCTTCAACTTTCTTCTACAGTATCTTCAATAAGATTCTTTAATGTTGTCTATTAGCTTTAATATTCAGTTTGATTTACTGTTAATTTTTTGAAATAGGAAATTGTTAACTGTGAATAGATAATAATATGAATAATATTTACACATTATGTATTAACGACTGAGTCCTAATACTCCTTCAGAAGACATACCTAACGTTCCATAAAACTTAACTTATAACAGTAGCTCTATATTCTTATACTATGAATAGGGCACTATAGCATTGCTATAGTACCAGCAAGCTAACGAACTGAGGGTCTTCAAGTCATTAGTTTAGTTTGTACAGGTAAATCTATTTTCTATCAGTCTCTTATATACCATAGCATTAGATAGCAAACGGAAACCAGAGCCATGATAATACCGCGATGTCGATCAAAAAATCGAATAATTACATAGCCAATCCAGGTTTCTACTAGTAAAACGACTATTTGACTTTCAAATTGAAGCCAGAGAACTAATGTGCCTGCTAGGCCTGCGAAAGCATGATTAATGAAAGTGTATTGTTGATGAAATGGATTAAAAAAAACCAAAAGACGAAATAGAATACAGGGATAGAAGTTTAAATAATGATTGAATAGTATTTGACTAAGTAATGGAATCATGCATTCATAATATTGTTGAGTTATATAACTAAACCACGTCTGCGGTGATGATAAAGTTGAATCCAACATTAGATTTATTAATTCATTGGAACCAGGATATTCTGAGTCTTTACTTAGGTATAAACCAACATTACCGTCTTCCATAATTAATCTGTAGTTATGTCGATAAAATAGCGAAGTAATTCTCTCAGCTAGCGAACTTTTTGGACAAGGTAACCCAAAAGAAAACTTTTCTTGTTTCAATGTGGCCTACTTGAAGTATGAATTGAAAAATTACGTAAACTTCTATATAATTATTAATCGCTAACTTTAATTGATTACTAGCTAACATAGTACATTAAAAATGACTTAATCCAAGTATAGCAGACGATATCATTTATATTTAAAACATTACTATATAGCTAATATTTCGTAACTAAAACAGATATTATCTACGTTATAGTGGCGTACAAAATATTATTGCACTAACTCGTGTTTTGTATTAAAACACAAAATATCCTAAATTGATCCGCAATTATAATCACTACTACGGTATCAATAGCTACTAAATAAAATTGATTTTGTATGTATTTTTGCATGCACATTACAGCTCATACAGTAGTATTGTAGAACATAGGATTCCTGCTCAATATTTACTACTGAGTATAACATATCTACAGAATAACCAGAATCCAGAGTTTTTATACGATTGTTGTGCATATATAGCAATACGATAATAACTTGCGAGTGTGATAATAACAACGTCGTAGTGCGTCCTCTTTTAGTACGGTATTTGTAGCGTTCCAGGCGTATATAACCACAATCTCTAACCAACTACATAGCCTGTAGTACAGAACATTCAAGGCTACAATTTGTAATAAACCTTAATTAACTGGCTGTAAGAATTAGCTGCCTGCCCGTCAAGACTATACGGAAACAATACTATATTAAAATAAAATTAAATTCACTTAAAGTTATACTGATCACAATGTTCTAAATAACCAGAAGCGAGTGTGCTATTCAGTATATTGTACTCCAATATGCACGTCCATAAAGTAAAAATTGGAAAAGTAAAGACTAAGCGAGTATGAATATATATATATATAATATATATAAGTAAAAAATAAAAGCAAGTTAAGAGAACATCACGAGTGATAGGTGTAAGCTAGAAATCTTCAGCACGCATATTTCAATACGACTATTTAAATAATAAAAGCAAGTGTATTCTAGAATTGAAAATAAATCAATAATACTTAACAAAATGAATATTAAAATATTCTTAAATAAATTAACCGTAGTAGCTTCTACTGATATTCATTCTCGAAAGTAACCCAGTATTAGCATTCAAAAAAAAATAATCACGGAAACTTATCAATACTAAACAAACTCTTACCGATATTTAATTCCTAAAAATAAGTGTGCAGAAAATGTATAGACTTAGCTGTGGTTGACCACTGTAATTGGATATCAAATTTATTCTAGATCGCTATGACTATCAAAACCCGTTCATACTGTATCGACTTATTCCCAATAACCGTTTTATACACACAAAAAAAAAGCTATTGTAACCGTGTTAGCCCTTTTATTTAACTAAATAGATATCAAAATAAACCTACATTTTTAACGATCGCAGATACGTTAAGTGCATTTGATTATACTGATGTTGACAGTCGTTATTACCACTCTTGCTGCTATTAATCTTATTTCGTAGTCCTTTATAGATGATATCGCAGTTTCTGCATTTTATGTTCTTCTACAACAAATACGAGCCAGCTTCAAAGTGCTTGATAGACTTGATAGAAAGAGTTGCCCTTTCTATTATGCTAGAAGGTATTAACAGAAATAATCCAATCCTAGTTATCGAACTTTTTACCTTGATTCAATGCGAAAGATTCGATACTTTAATATTGTAACTCGATGAAATTTTTTAAAGTCTACACGTATTCTGAATAGATTGTAACTCGTGTATAAATATTGATTACAGCCAATCAATGATTTTTTTGCGAACAATATTGCTCTTATAATATCGGTAATCACGGAGGCTCTGTTGCCTTTGATATTGTCGGTAGAACGTGAAGATAATAAAGTATGCTCTTCTTTCAAAAAGTAAAGTACAATGGTCATATTTATAGAGATTATAATATAATTTGTTGTCACCTAAGTAGTTCAAAAGAACCAAATATAGCCTGAATAAAAAAAATCGATTCTTATAAATCAATATTCGGTATCGATACATCGAACACTATTATAGTCCAGTAAAAGCCTTAAATGGCATTTCTGTCGGTTATTTGGAAGGCAGAATGTATCCGATACGATAGCTTTCACCTGAATTGATTATAAGGCTAGAAATATAGCTAAAATAAAACGGATATAGTTGACTAACAAAGATGCAATATTTCTGAATGAATATTCTACTCTATTATTCCAAAAATAAAGCACGAAAATACGATTTTATATCAGCTGTTATAGCCGGTATACCAATTATTGTTGGGTCAGAATTGATGACTTGATTAAAATAAGATCCAATGACAATAGAAAGTCTTGGCTAATAGTATATAATAAATAATAAGGGATCATCTCTATTATCTCTATATCATTCAATGAAAATTTTGAGATTATATTTGTACATAATATTTACACTTGGAGAGGTACGGTACTTTGAATTATTACAGTGGTCAAGTTATCGTCATTCGACCAAATGAAAAGGATACTTGCCCGATACAAGTACCGGTGCCAATAATTTTTGTGATAACTCACCGCTAAATAAATTCTAGATATTATTTCCATGTACTATTGAATGAGTATAGTATGCCTGTAAATTATCAGCATGGTCGAGATTAGTTCAAAAATTAAAATCTTATCAGAAAACTGCCCCAAAATTTTCAATTACGAACGATTTTCTCTATTGTTATTCAAGTAACTCTAGGATAATATAATATCTATATCTCCCATCAAACAATTAGGGTACTACAGTTCAGTTATACTGGTATCTAGCAATGATATCATAATCTAAATTCAGGTAAATAGCATGTTATAAGGTAGGAATGAGAATACCGGCCTAATAATGCACTATAAATGCTCCACTCTTTTGTAATGACCGAGTAATAGTCTTCTACTATTACTATTAGCCACTTACTGTACTACTGTACCATTATTAGCTGAGATCATTATAGCTTTTCGTCCGTCAGTATACACAGAGATAATATTTATACCTCCTGTTTGGATCATTTTTGTATCTCTAATATCACTAACAGAGTGTAAATTAATGAAAAATGGAATATCTGTAAGATGAAATTTACTAAATAATGTATTCCTATAATTATAATCTAAATGTTTTGCTTTTTAGCTATGAAAACAATATATAGACATCAACATCAGTCATTGTACTTAATATTCTAGCGTAGCCAAAATGGTAATTTAAGAAAGATAATAGGACGCTATCCTAATAATGCGTCAGAATCAATTTTCTGTACTTATTACCGTGAAATTTAATCTAAAATAAATAGCTACCGCTAAATAAAGTAAACGGTATAATATGTATATTGCTAGCCTTGACGTTAGTAAAATATAATTTGAGATCGTATCTTCAATCGGCTATTGGATGAGTATCACATCATTACAATTATGCTAGTAATCGAATTTGATGAAAAAAGGTGTAAGACTAGCAAGGACTACTAAAATGAAAGAGAAGAACTGACAACGGGTCGTTCATTACACCAAAAATGATGGGGCTGGCTATCTAGCTGGTCATATCAACTGAACAGTTTGTCTGAACGATACGCGGCACTATCCGCGATTATCATCCTAGTGGACGGCCGGGTTGGTTTGTGCAGTGCGATATACTGTTTCAGTGATAGCGTATAGTAGATTGGCCAGAAAAAAATAAGTCTTATCGTTATTTTTACAGAACGGCCGCTTTAGTTTCCCTCTTTCCTTTTAGGTAGGATAGGTAAGAGGATTTTTATCAACAAATGGAATCAATGTTCCGCTCCATGATCATTTAACAAGCTCTGAAAAATTATTTACATTTACTGCTTGATAAGTATGATTGCCTGAAATAATTATTATTTTTGAAAATGTTGCAAAAATTAAATTAAATCGGTTTAACTTGTACTTACCTTATTGTAAGTAATAATACTTTGATAGTCTTATAATTTAAACTATCAATGAATAAACTTATTAATGAAATTAAGACGTTTATTCGCTGTTGTATACAGGCTAGGCACGTTGAACTATTATTAAATTCAAAATTAATACTTGGGTATAGTAACAGGGGAATTAAAGTATAAAGATTGCACATTAAAATGCCAATTTGGGATCCTCATAATCGTTCATTGAAACCCTACTATCATGTCTTTATCTTCTGTTAAGCAGGATAGTGTATGAAAGTAATAAAATTTAAATTTATTAGAACGTCAAATTAATTGTTGAAAGAAAAAGCACTATCATTATATCTCAACCAAAACTCGAATTTTCTACCCAAATTCAACTTTTGAATACAACATACAAGTCTTACTACTACATACGACATTAAGAGGTCTTAGTTCTGATCAAATTGATCGATAATGGATCATTGAAACGACGTTTTTCTAAATTCTATTCTTGGCTAGACCTACTATATTCACTGAAGTTCAAATTAATTCATTGTAATATATTCTCATAAGTAATTCTCTCATATATCAAATGAATAATCGATGATCATTAATAATACTGCCTTTTTATGACATATTTTTTAACTTCCAACACAGAGTCAGCTTCATAGAATTCTACTCTAAAAGTGCTACATAATTTATGCTAATGCAATTGCAATGGATTTAACTAATTTAGGTTAGCCTCAACTTTCTCCACTCTCACATCTACTGTCATACCGGTATCTTAACCCTTAGAAGACAGGATATGAAAGATAGTTTATTAAATGATAGAAAGTATCGACGAAAGAGACGAGAAAGAAAGTAATTTATCTTAATTTCTTCGCTTATAGCAGGATAAGCTTAGGATAATCTTTCATAAAATGGAACGCCATTAATAGTTTGTATTAACGAATATATAAATTATATTCTAATTACATCATTCAAAGCCAATCATTTATCTACATTGATTAATAGAAAACTCTCGCTAGTCTAAACCTTTTTTAAAGATTTTCTCACCTTTCATTAACCGTTGCA